CCTCCTCTGTTTCACTGCCTTCTTTTTCAGAGGGGCAACGGTATCAAGTGTATTACGCAGGAAGGCTGCAGTACTATCAACAAGATTATCGACAAGATTATTTTCTTTCTTGTAAATGACGTTTGCCATTTCTGTAACTGAGATCACAAAACTCCATTCTTACGACCTTCATCCAATAGTCTCTGAAGCTTTCTGAAGACATTTGGTTACTTAGGTACTGATTTTAATTCTAACAATAACCTTGGCTAAATCTTACATATTTGCATGAATTTGTCTATTCATAGACAATAAGTAACACATGGAAATGTGTTTATTAATAATAATAGTAATTCTTATCATCAGGGACCACCTGTGATGCCTTCAAAACCCCTTAGTGGTCTGCGGACTGCTGGTATATGTTTATTGTTTTCCTACTGAAAACATTGTCCCAAGCAAATTAGCCTTGACTTTCTTCACCATGGTAGAACAAAATAGTCTCCACACTTCTCCTTTGTTGATTTAATAATTTTCTTAGTTTCAGCTGTCTCTGGAAATCAGTAGTATTAGCCTGGTTTCAGTTGTTTTTCAGTCTTTTAAAATCTTGATTATGTTCTTTAATAGCCATGCTACATTCATCATTCCACCAAGGTACAACTTTATTTTTCCCACTAATTTAGCATTTTGGTAGGCTATATACATTGATGCTGCATTAAACATACTTGTAACTGCATCTGCACTCTCATCTACATTACCTTCTAAAATTTTATTCCTTCCTAACAGTTTGCAGTGGTCCTTAAATTCAACCCACTTGGCTTTAGGAAGACATCACCTCCAGTGATCATTACTTATCTCTGAAAAGCTTTAACATTTAATGAATATAAAATTGGGAAGTGATCACTCAAGTGCTTGCTGAAGGGGGACTTGTTGGGTTTTTCCTCAATAATAATAATAATGAGGTCTAGATCTGACTTTGTAAAGTGTCCTGAGATGATTTTGTGATTTGGCGCTTTACAAATAAAACTGAATTGACTTGAAAATCACTTCCAGTTGTGGATCTGTTTATCATTTTCTACTCACTAGTATAAAATCTAATGCCGGTTTAATATTACTACTAATAACATAATGTAATATTATGTCCATGATCCTTGTGCCGTTCCCATTCTTCAAGCAGCAATCTTTCATTTATCACATCCTCAATGATTTGTTCCTTTTATCTGTACATCTACTTCCCCATTAATCATTATGTGTGTTGAACTTTCAACACCATATTTCTCTTTTACTATTTTCTTGTGCTTTTTCATGGAAAATTTTTCATAGCCTGGAGAGATAGTCTAATAACAAATAAAAAAGTCCTTCATAGTACCAGAGCCGCATATTATTCATCACCGATAGAGGAAAATACGAACAAGCCCAGGTTCCTTTTCAGCACTGTGGCCACGCTGACAAAGAGCCACAGTGCTGTTGAGCTTAATAAGCATAGGCACAAACTTTATTGCCAAATATTATCAAAAATACAAGGAATCTGACTTCAGCCCAATAGCCCTCAGTGTGCACAACAATATAAAAACAGATTAAAACCAAAACCACAAGTAAAAAAGCAAAGACAAAAATGAAAGAAAATGTGCACACATACATATAAAACACAAGTTAAAAGAGCTACTGTAGCTAAAATACATCTGTACGTTGTTGCACAGTGGTGTGTATAACGTCCTATCATACCCTTAAACATGGACTAACTGTTGAAAAGTGCGACGGCCTGGGGAAAGAGACTGTCCTTAGGTCTGGTTGTCTTGGCGTCCAGTGACCTGTAGTGCCGTCCAGAGAGGAAGAGCTCAGACAGTTTGTGTCCAGGGTGTGAGGAGACTGCAGAAATCTTCTCCACCCTCCTTCTGACCTTAGATCTCAGCAGCAATGACTTCATGAGCTTCTTTACAAATAAAATCACAACTATTAGAGAAAAAAATTGGTCGGACCACTCCCACAGCTCTCGCAGATGTGCCATCTACTACAATGGCTTTAGAAACATCTGTAAGACCTCATTTATACTTGGACTACTTCTCTCCCATAGATCTCTCTGAGTTGACCTCAACAACTGCTTCATCTAAATCATCAACATGTCTCCTGGACCCCATCCCGACCAGGCTGCTCAAAGACGTCTTGCCCCTAATCAACACATCCATATTAGATCTGATCAACCTCTCTCTATTAACAGGCTGTTCCACAGGCTTTTAGGGTTGACTAGAACACCTTATTGGGATTAAAGGAACTGCACTAAGTTGGCTCAAATTGTATTTATCAGACAGATTCCAGTTTGTTCATGTTAATGATGAATCCATGTACACTAAAAAACAGGTTCTTTGTGCTTTCTTTTTATTTTATTCACACATTAACAACATACAAACTGTGCAAATGAATTAGATGAATTCTGTCGATGCTGAAAAACTCAGAGGCCACAGAGGAACTCCAGCACTGACTGGACTCTACAAGTCCAGATCTGAATGATTCAGCACTCTGGATCAGGTCTCTGTTGTACTTGTGCTCATTCAGGCTTTCTTCAGGTCAGCTTCAGATTAGGACACACCCACCAAAATTAAATTAAAAAAGTTTTCAACAATAAAACTCTACCGTAATCCACTCAAAAACTGAACCTCTAGTGTTTTCACTGCTGTGTCTGTTCAGCTGGCAAAACTGAGTCTATTACAACTGGATAGAAAGTAGTCAGTGATTCATGTTTATCAAGTGAAAACCACAGACTAGCTCTTAGGGTAAATATTTCTACCTGCTAACATCAGGTTAATATCTGATCTACTTACATGACAATGACATGACCAGATACTGGATCCAAATCCTGTTCAATAAGGATGAAAACTGGGAGTATTTTAATAGGACCATCACAAACCTGAAATCTACATGGACATGTCTCTCTAACTTCCACTCATTTCTTCATATGAAATGAGATAAACCTGCTGAAACAACTTCAACAAGAAGAAACAGCTGACACTTTAGCTCGTGGCACTGTCCTCGCCATCTGTACCATCGTACTGGGCCGTGTGTGACAGTCTTCCGGACTTCACTTGAAATGGATTCTTCTACATTTTCTGGTTCTACTGGGACTCTTTCTCCTGATCTCTAATATAGTTTTTAGTGGATCTGTTCTGGTTTTCTGAGCTCCTCTGTGGCTGCAGTGGATTTCCCGGCATGCCTTGGTAAACAGGTAACAAACAGGAAGTAAAGCTCGATGCATGGCATCAATAATAAGAAGCAACAACGTCCTGGCTGCGGCAGCCATGTTGGCTCTGAGTGATGTCACCACAGTGATGTCATAGCAACACTGATCCATTCACACACACGTACACTCGCACACATGCAGTTCTGTAACTCATCAGCCAGTCAGAGGAGGAGTCGCCCCCGTCTGTGTAGCTCACTCTGACTGGCTGCTTCCCGACGGACTGTTCTGTTGGTGTCGCTCTTAGCTGGATTAGCTTCCAACCCTGATCATCCTTTGCTTTGCTAGGTCTGAACAGGTGAGCTGATCTCAGACCAGCAAGGTCAGAGCTCAGAGCTGTCACAGCGTCATGGATCAGGGAGATCGGAGGTATCCACGGTAACCTGCCAAACAAACCATTCGATGCAGACACTGATTAGAGGGTCAGTCAATTATTAATCAACTTCAGATCATGACACATATCTACTGATCGTCCCCAATGTTGGGACAGAGAAGGGGGAAAATCCTTTATCTTTTCTGCCCCACCTACATGAACCTACACCTCTGTGGCTCCTTTCCCTCTTGTTGTGTTTTAGTCAAATACTTTAAGAGTTTTAGTAGTTTAATACAAACGTTTTGTCTTAAACTTCTTTTCTCTTATTGTTTTAACTAATACCTTAGTTATTTTAGCAATTACTGCAGGATTTTTATACTGTAATATGTTCTTGCAAAGGGTTTTTACTATTGTTGTAGCTCTTATTATTGTATTTGTTTCTGTTAGTACATTGTCTGCACAATGGACTGTCCTTGTCTGTAACTCTTCATGCTGCTGCATGCTTCTTCCCAGGATGCCCTTCAATAAAAAACTAAAAGAGCTTGTCCCCAGACCCTCACAGCTAGTCCTCAGAAGCAGGAGGTGTTGCTCATCCCCACCTTGATGAAGATGGTGTCGTCTTTGATGTAGGTACCGGTCTCCAGCAGACTCTGAGACACAAACAAGGGACAGCCAGAGGCGATGTTCATCTCTGCTGCAGGGCGTTTGAAGCTGCTGCTGTTGGGATCAGGTTTAAAGGCATCACCCAGGTGTTTCCTGGATGGACCCTGGTCCATTAGCATCAGAGTCACCTGACAAAAAGACACAGTCGCACAGACAGGCCAGTCATCATCGGTTTGGCTCTACAACAACAAGGGGATGCATGCAAAAGATCAGACGACACAGAATTCTTCATTTCCAAAACTCGGTTGGAGCCCAGCCAGTCACCAGTCAGTACACCAGTCTGCCGCTCGGTGTGAAGGGCCAGGGCAACAGGGCGCCATACTCGCCACTCAGCAGTCAGTTAATACTCAGTAAGCAGTAAATGAGTGTATACCTTCTGTTTGAAGGGCCAAGGCAGCAGAGCATCGTACTCGCCCTTCATCACCACAAAGAACAGCGACAGGTGTGTCCCCTTTCCCATGCCGTCTCCGTTCAGGTAAACTCGAGCACACATCTTGTATCCAAAATATCCGGTGTAAAACGGTTGTGAATACAGTGACAGCGTCTTTGCCGCCACCGCTTCCTGTTTCCGTCTCTTGTAGTCGCGGATCTTCCAGATAAGAGTCCCGTTGTAGCTCGCCGTCTCTAGCACCTGGAAACGCAGGTCCATGTCGGCCAATCGGATCTCATGGACACTCAGCATCTCATCGTGTCGATTGAGCTGAGTCTCCAGGGATGCTGCAGAGAGACTGATATTCATTATTGATGACTGCGGGTTTCCCCAGTCCCTCCCTCCATCCTTTTCCTCTTTGTGTATTTTTTTCGGCTTATGTTATTTTCTAATTGATGACTGGGCGTTTTTAAAAAAACAAAATTGTTTGTGAAGTTTTATGGTTTTTTTGTTTTGCTTCTGTAACTAGTGTGCAGACCTTCAGTGTTAACCCCCCCCCAACCTCCACAGCTAGTATCCAGACCTCTGGAATTAGTTCGCAGACCTCTGAATCCTGTCCCTAGATTTCTACAATTAGTCCCCAGACTTTAGAAATGAGCCCCCAGCCTTCAAAAATTAGCACAGTGAATTCAGAAACTTGCTCGCAGACCACTGCAGCTAGCCCCCACGTTTGTGTTCTCACCCAGAGTGTGTGTTGTTGATCCAGTCCCACTGCGCCCCCCTTGTTCCAAAGTGTTCAGCCTCGTCCGTACGTTCTCCATCGTTCCTCGCAGGTTCTCCACCTCGTCTCTGAGCAGACGGAGAGAACGAAGCTCCAGCTCCACCTCCAGGAGCTTCTCTGAGTGAGAGCTCATTAGTTTCTATGGGAAGAGAGAGATGCCCAGGTTCATGGCAGGTCTTTGGTTTCATTTGTGACATTTGTTTGACTCTCTTTAAGGCCCCTCTTCAGTTTTTTATGGTTCCCACCCACATTAAAAACATAAACGTGTATGTACAACTGTATACTACATCATCATTGTCCTGTAATCAGAATAAAAACAAATATTAAATCAGTTACAATATAAACCTCTTATCCTTTATACATAAGTAGAAAGAAATTATTGATTTCATGTTAACATCTAACTTATCTTGACTAACCTTACAAATTTTAACCCATTTTGAACTTTCACAGAATATGAAAAAGGTCATATATGGACTGTATTTATATAGCGCTTTCTCACAGTGTGTTACACTGACCAAAGCGCTTTACAGGAGATCATACACCATTCACCCATTCACACACCGATGACGAGAGGCTGCCGCACACTGGCGCCAGTCGAACCACCGGGAGCAATTTGGGGTTCAGTGTCTTGCTCAGGGACACTTAGGCATGCGGGGAGACCGGGAGTCGAACCACCAACTTGCTGGTTAGAAGACGACTGCCCTACCTCGTAAGCCACAGCCACCCCCAAGAAAGATATTTCTTTGCCTTAGTAATGTAATAAAGTAACAGTACCTGCATGGCGGCCAGTTTCTGCTCCATTTGTCGGTTCTTTTCCCTCAGTTCATTGTTCTGGTTCTCCAGTTCGGACAGGCGACTACTGAGAGCGGGAAGGACCTTATACCTCTCTAACAGCTCACTTTTAACATCCTCCACCTGGAAATACACACAGATCAGCCAGGTAAAGTCATACTAGATTACCTGCACAGGTTTGATATGGTGCTAAGGCTATCTTGGACCATTTGCTACGGTTACCTTATTTTCTATCAAGGAATTCCTGTTAGCCATCATTTTCAAGTGTTCAGCAGCAAAGGTGGACTCGTGTTGCCTCATATCCTGGTTCAAACCCTGAAACACAAAGAAACACTACATAAACTACACAGAGTACAGGATATGAATTATATGTAGTTCACTAGGACACACTGGGATATTCAGAAGCAGATAAACAAGATGGTAATGAGTTACCTTGAAGGTACAGCCATAGCAGTGGAACTGACAGCTCACCTGAGCTTTGGGACAGTCGTGTTGGTGATTGGACAGCTGAAAGACAAAATCAATCAATCGAGATCATCAATACTGACTGCTGTTGTTGGACAAAACAGGTGAAACACCAAGAACTGAGCTACACCACAGTCTGGACTGACAGTACCTCACTCCGGGGCAGGGAGGAGAAGGAGCAGTGGTTTGGACAGGACACAGGGAATGCCGGACACACCGTCTCTTTGTGTTTCTGAAAACAAATCACCAACTTAAACCTGTTCCCTGTTCTCAGGTTGGTCTGTGTCAAGTTCTGTTAGGTCAGTTCTGTTTCTGGGACAGCAAAGAGGTTTAAGGTACCACCTACAGACCAGTCTGGATGACACTGTGTTCCTTGTCCTCACACCTCTGCAACTAACTAGTTCCCAGACCCCTTAAACTTTCCTACCTGCAGATCGTTCAGAGGCATCTTGGTCATGCAGAACTCGCAGGTTGACTCTCTGTGTTTACATTTCCAGCTCAGGTGGTCGGGAATTTCTTTCCTCATCATTCGCTCTTTACATTTACCCAGAGGACAGGGAACCTCGAAGAACGGACACACATTCAAGTGGTCCTGCAGACAGACAAGCGAGAGACAGACGGGGACTTGTTGATTTATCTTGATATCATAAATCCTGATCATCATGTCTACATGAACACCTGGTAGGCCATGACTGTCTAGATCGGTGGTTTAACTGTTGACATGAACTACATTTGAGGTGTCCACAAATGGACTTTATACAGGACACTACGGCCAATCAGTGAGCAGGGTTCTCTTTCACCATGTTAACAGTATATGCAGATGCTCTCACAGATATCTGGTGCAGACTCATCTGCTCCTGACAGCCACTGGCTTCACTGCGACAGTAAACCTTCAGAGCCATGATCTCCCGATGACAGCAAACATCTCTGAAGATCTTAGACACAAATCACAGGATGTTTAATAAGTGATCAATAAAAATACTCAATAATTAATGACAACATGATCTGTGCTGTGATGTCACTTCTTGCCCACCTTATCTTTGAAGAGAGGCTCCATGTCTGCTGGACAGACAGGGTTTGGGTGACTACAAGAGGAGAGAGGACAAAGTTACTGAAGACAGACTCCTGACCTCTGCTGGTCTGAACATTACATCACACCACATTAGCGTGGGGTGGCTGTGGCTCAGGGGTAGAGCAGGTCGACCCTTGATCGCAGGGTTTTTGATTTGATTTGATTTGATTTATTCTTTCAAACATGTAACAACAGTCAATATGTCAACACACATAATTCCACACATATCCACAAATATATTATCAATTTGCTTATACCTGGTACATGCTTGAACGGAGTAGGAAGAAGTTAGACTTATTCAGTCCTACCCCATGACATCATCTTACCATCATTGGTTTGCAAGCAGTATTACTACATAGATCATTTTGTTCTGCACCACGCTAGTGAT